GAGAGGCAGGACAGAAACAGATACATGCACACGCATGTTTATCACAGCACAATTTACAATAGCAAAAAGATGGAAACAACCTAGGTACCCATCAACAGAAGAATGGATAACCAAACTATGGTACGTACACACAGTGAAATACTATGCAACACTAAAGAATAGCATAGAATCTGAGAAACACTGCATAATGTGGATGAACTTAGAGGACATTATGCTGAGTGAAATAAGTCAATGATAGGAGGAAAAAGATTGTATTAGTTCATTATTGTGAGAAGTCAAGGAAAGGTTTATATATGGAAGGAAACTTTCTTTGTTGGTTACCAGGGGTGGGAGGGGAGTGGAGGGAACACTGCAAAAATAAAATAAAAATAAAACACAGGTATACATACAGTACATAAATAGATTTATATTAAAATTTCTTGTGAGTGGACAATTAGGAAAACTGTTTAGAAAGGCTCTTTGTTGTAGTGCAGCACTGTCGAGTTCATTCCAATTCATAGTGACCCCATGTGATCAAGCAGAACTTCTCCATAGGGTTTCTAAGCTGTAAACTTTATGGATTATGAAGACTACAGCTTCCAGTATGGGTTACACCTCAACAGAAGAAATCAAACAACATATTGCCGTGGCAAATGTGCTGCAAAAGACCTCTTCGAAGTGTTAAGAAGCAGAGATGTCTCCTGGAGGACTAAAGTGTACCTGAACCAAGCCAAAGTATTTTCAACAATGTCATATGCATGTAAAAGCCCAACAATGAATAAGGAAGACCAAAGAAGAATTGACATATTTGAATTGTGGTGTTGGCAAAGAATATTGAATATACCATGAATTGCCAGAAGAATGAACAAATCTGTCTTGGAAGAAGTACAAGCAGAATGTTCCATAGAAGGGGGGATAATAAGATTTTGTCTAATGTACTTTGGACATGATATCCAGAGGGACCAGTCCCTAGAGAAGGACATCATACTTGGTAAAGTAGAGGGTGATTGAAAAAGCAGACCCTCAATGAGATGGAGTGACACAGTAGCTGCCACAATGGTCTCAAACATAGTAATGATTTTAAGGATAGTGCAGGATCAGGCAGTGTTTTGTTCTGTTGTACAGATAGTCGCTATGAGTCAGAACCAACTCTGTGTGCCTAACAGCAACAGCAGTCTATAGAAGCAGATCACTATGTCTTACCCCTGTGGAGCCAATGGGTGGGTTCAAACCACCAACTTTTTGGTTAGCAGCTGAGTGCCATCCTGAAAGAGTTGAGAAACATCAGTCTAGGCCATCAAGGGATGGTTCAGGGTTGAGGTCTTTCAAGCACCCCTCCAGTTTTACTTCTCAGGTCTGGCCTCAATCTGCCAGGGAAGGCTGGGTGAAGTTTAGAGAGGAACCAGCAAACAGCCAGTGAGCTCAGAATGGCTCCCACTTACCCACTCAGAGGGCATTCATGGAGTTTACCTGCAGGTCGGCCCTGGGCTGATCTAAGGATTGAAGAGAAGCTGGGGTGGCCTCTGCCCCTGTGTCCTGTCCTGACCTGAAAGGTCAGAGAAGGCTTCCTGGAGGAGGAGCCTTCTAGGTGAGTTTTAAAGACTAATAGTAGTTAATCAGGTGAAGGGATTTAATTCAGGAGGGGATAGAATGGCCTCCCAGGCAATCAGAGGATAGAAAGTCCTGGCAGTGAGAGAATCTGGCTGCCCTATAAGAGCTATGTCTGGCAGGGACTCAGGATGGGGGTGGCAAAGCCTGGGGCATAAGGCAGGAGGAGCAGGCTGAGCCAAGGCTGTGTAGGACTAAGTCTCCGTCTTTTATCTTGTTCTCATCACAGGGCTATGTGCTCAGAGGCTGGATGGACCTTACCTCAGACAAGCCCCAGATTGTAAAGAAATCCATCAAGTACCTGGAACAAGGAATTGAAGACACAAAAGATGTGCTGGGGATGATGGGAATGGTAGGCAATGGGGAGAGAAGGTGTGGGAGTATCCCTAGCTGGGTGACCAGAGCCAGAGACCCACCAGATGACCTCAGGCCCAACACTTGGTCTTTAGGTCCCTCACCTGATAGATGAGCAGAGGTTCAGAGAGGGTTAGCAACTGGCCCAAGAGCACACAACAGCCCAGGACCCACTTCACTTCTCACATTCTCTCCTCCCTGGCCTGAGTTTCTGTTTCATTCCGTATGAGGTTCTTCTTAGGGTCTCCTTCTCAGGGTCTTCCTCCTTAACTCCTTCAGGCTCCCTCTCTTCACTTCTTTCTTGGTTTCACTCACTGTTCCTTTTCTCTGCAGGCTTCATTCACCCTCTCCATTTTGTCCTTCCCCTCTTCTCTCCCCTAAGGTTCACTTAGCCATAAGAGAAAAGAGGTAAACATATTTATAATATGTCATGAATTTTCTGATTTTAATTTAAATTGTTATTATTGTTAGTTGCTGGCAAGTTGATTCTGACCCATGGCAACCCCATGTCTTACAGAAAAGAACTGAGGGTTTTCTTAGCTATAATCTTAACGGAAGTGGATCACCAGGCCTTTTCTTCTGTGGTACCACTGGGTGGGTTTGAACTGCCAGCCTTTTGTTTAAAAGCCAAGAGCAAACAATTTGTGCCACTTGGGGACCATTAAATTTAAATTAAATTCTTTTTTTTCTTACATGACTCTCACTGAATCAACCTTTGAGAGAAAAAAACTATGCTCATAGTCTGTTTGGTTTGTATATTTTTTCTTGTAAAATGAATACATGTTGTTGTTGTTGTTATGTGCCGTCGAGTCAGCCCCGACTCATAGCGACCCCTCCTTGGGTTTCCAAGGCAGTATCACTACAGAAGTAGGATTGCCCAACCTTCCTTCCGAGGAGTGGCTGGTAGGTTTGAACCGCCAGCCTTCCGGTTAGCAGTCAAGTGCTTTAGCCAGTATCATTAAAAAAAACAGAAGTCTAAAAAAAAAAAGAAGAAGAGTTAAAAAGTGAGCATAAAAAACAGGTTTATCCACACCACCCCCAAATAACTCATGTCAACATGTGTGGGCAGCACCGTGCTGTCTCTTTTCTACGTGGAGGTTTAAGGTATACGTTAGGTTGGTTTTCTAGGAAGCAGGAGGCATAGAGCTCATCGCGTAGGAAGTTTATTGGAGAGCACCCTTGGGACCTGTACCATTGGGAGGAATGAAGGGAGCTGGGTTGGGCAGAGGGAGAGGTTGAATTGTGAAGTAGTCACAGTGTCTTAGCCACCTAGTGGTGCTATAACAGAAATACCACAAATGGATGGCTTTAACAAACAGAAATGTGTTTTCTCACAGTTGAGAAATCTGGAAGTCCAAATTCAGGCTGCTGGCTCTAGGGGAAGGCTTTCTTCTCTGTCAGCTCTGAGGGAAGGTACTTGTCTCTTTTCAGCTTCTGTTTGTTGGTTCCTTAGAGATCTTATGTGGGAGGGCATCTGTCTTCCCCACCTCTTCTTACTTGCTGTTTGCTTAATCTGCCCTTTTAGATCTCAAAGGACATTGACTTAAAACTTATCCTATACTAATACTGCCTCATTAACATAACAAAGGAAACCTATTGCCAAACTGGATTATAACCACAGGTATAATAGGATTTCTAACATATAATTTTTTGGGGGGACACAATCTGTAACACATAGGAAAGGCCTCAGCCAGCTCCACAGGGAATCCTGGAGTTGGACTGGCCTTTTAATACCTCCCTGATAAGGTACTGAAGGTGGGCTGCCCTTGGGAGGGGGTTTGACCTTTGAGGAGGCAACTCCTTTGGGCACAGGGAGCTCAGGAGGTAGGCTCAGCTGAGAGTGACCAGCTGCTGACTCTCGGTCCAGAAGGGGGTTCCACACAGCACACACTGCAGGGTGGAAGATAGTGATGATGTCATTAATATAGTTTTAACCATAGAGCATATGTCATTTGGTTTCTTTATCTCCATGTAATGTTTTATCAAAAGCAAATGTCCTTTTTCACGTCTATATAAAGCTGCATTGTCTGGTCATAATGTAATTTACTAAAAGCAACCCCCTATTTTGAATATTGGGGGTGTTTCCAGTTTTATACTATTAGAAAGAGAGGTGTGGTGAAGTGTTTATGCTTCCATCTTCGTGAATCCATCTTTAGAATGTCCGGCTCTTGTTTTTGATGAGAAGCCTCATCGTGGAGGGTCTAATGTCAGCCATCCTTTCAGAGTACAACAATTTCAAGTCTTTTAGGAACACTGCCCTCTGCCCCTCAGGTACGTGTGTCACAATTTGCCCAAAAGAACCTAGAGCAATGGCTAGTGCTGTGCCTAGCTGAGTCCATGACCCCACCCAGTGGGCCATGACAATGAAAACCTCCCTGGCTTTGCTGAGGAGGGAATTTTGCATAAAATCAAATTGGGTGCCACTGAGCAGTTTTCATCAAGGTCACTGGGTGGCGCAAAACGCTATCCAAAACGATAGCAGTTCAAACCCACTGGTAGCTCAGCAGAAGAAAGGCCTAGCAGTCTGCTTGCATAAAGATTACAGCCAAGAAAATCCAACGGAGCACAGTTCTGCTGTGTAACACATCAGGTTGCCATGAGTTGGAACCAACTATACGGCAATGGGTTAATGGAACAATTTTCAGTGACAAATTCAGAAAAGTGAGTGGGAAATGAATGGGCAGTCTGTGGAACTGGAAAATGTCCAGTGATCCTAGCTCTGCCCCTCAGGCTGGCTCTCACATGACCTTGGCCTATTCTAGGCCTGCTGAGTTTTCCAAGGTTAGAACCCCACCGTTTCCCTGGAGACCCTGCTTTGCCCAACCAGGAACCTAAGGTTGCTGTGGACCTTTATTTGCTCTCTGAGTGACGATTCCATCCCTGAAGGCCAGCAAGGGCTCCTATACTGGCCAGGACCCAAGGACTCCCCTAGCTCAGCTGAGGAGACCCACAGTGCCTACATGTCAGATTCTCCCTCATCCTAAAGGGGACACTGGATGTACCCTATCTCCCTTCATAGGCACTGACACAGAGGCGCTTCTCTCCTGCTCTCTCGACAGGCAATGTACCTCATGACGCAGCAGAACTACTCAGGAGCTTTGGAGGTGGTGAACCAGATCACCGTGGCCTCAGCAGGCTTCTTGCCTGCCTTCGTCCTGAAGATGAGGCTGTTCTTGGCAAGGCAGGACTGGGAGCAGACAGTAGAAACAGCACAAAGGTGAGGGGTGGGACTGCCATGACACATGGGCTGCTTGCTTCATTTCCAAGTGGAGGATGCTAGTATGCTCCCATCCTATAAGACTAGGAGATGGGAGATACTGTCTGTACTACATGGACAGGACAAAAAGGTCAATATCACTAATAGAGACATTATTATATTACAGTGATATGATCATATTGGGAGAGTAGGGAAGAGAAGATTGGTGTAATTGAGCTAAAATACTCATCCATCACAGCAGGAGGCCAGAGCTATGGCCCATGATGGGTAAAGTAAGAAGTAGAAGCATAAGCATACTGTTTAGATGAGAGATAGAAGGAACCACCTAAAGAACCAGGAGTTACAATTGGCATAACATAGTACACAAAAACATTGTTCCAAATCATGGGAGAAAGAATGACTACTTATGCACAGGGAGACAGCTCAGGAAGCAGGAGTGTATGGAGGAATGGACACTGGGAAGAGGTAACTATGGGGAGGAAGTAGGAGGGGAGCTGTTGCATTGCGGTAAACTGTGATCAATGACATGAGACAAAGTATATGTGAACTGCTGTATGGAAAGTGAATTTGGTCTGTAAATCTTCACCCAAATCACAATTTAAAAAAAAAAAAAACATTGTTCCACATCATACTCTGGCAAGTAGCAACTGGGACCTTAAAAGCTTACAAGTGGCCATCTCGATGCAACAATGAGTCTCTCCTCTGCCAGAGCAAAGAAGAATGAAGACAATCAAATATTCATGGAAACAGTTAGTCCAAGTGACTGGTACATCAAGTGATCCTCAGCCTATATGACTATGAGAACAGAAGTAGAGGGTGCCCGGCTACCACTGTCAACCACTTGGAGGGGGATCTATGTAGGAAATCCTGGATAGAGTGGGAGAACACTGTGGGACAGAACTCAAAATCATTAAAAAAAAAAAAGGGGGGCGGGGAGGCCAGGTTTCCTGGTCTGATAGAGCCTGGTGGAACCCCTGAGACTATGGCCCCTAGCTGCCCTTCAGGTCTGGAATTGAACCCACTCCTGTGGTTTCCAGCCAAACAAAAAACAGGCATATGAGCTTAACATTTACATTAGGTAGATACACTACTTGGAGAGATCAATCATGGGAGAATAGAAGGACAGTGTATGCACAGGAAGACAGCTTGGGGAGCAGGAGTGCATGGAGGGATGGGCACAAGGAAGAGGTAACTATGGGGAGGAAGTGGGAGGGGAGCTGTTGCATTGTGGGAAATTGTAGTCAATGTCATGAGACAAAGTGTATGTGAGCTGCTGTATGGAAAATGAATGCATTTGCTCTGTAAACTTTCACCCAAATCACAATTTAAAAAAAGAAAGAAAGAAAGAAAAGAACCAGGTGTTATAGGGGAGAAAGTAGTTGCCTCTAAGGAGTGGAGGGTAGGAGAGAATGAAGGGAGAGTGGGACTAGGGACTATTGTATTATTTAATGGATATGATATACTTTAATAAAATGTAATCTTTATTAAAAACTTTTTGGGAAAAATGTTGCTGATGCCTAACTGTCTTAGTTTCCTAATGCTGCTGTAACAGAATTACAGTTGAGTGAGTGGCTTTAATGAATAGAAATATATTTTCTCACTGTCCAGGAAGTTAGAAGTCCAATTTCAGGGCACCACCTCTAAGTAGAAGCTCTCTGTCAGCTCTGGGGGAAGGTCCTTGTCTTAGCTTTTGTTGTTGTTGTTGTTTTGTGCCATTGAGTGGGTCCTGACTCGTAGTGCCCCTCCTTGGGTTTCCAAGGAGGTATCACTACAGAAGTAGATTGCCCAGCCTTCCTTCCGAGGAGTAGCTGGTGGGTTTGAACCACTAGCCTCTGGTTAGCAGTCAAGTGTCTTAGGCACTATGCTACCAGAGCTCTGTAGCCCCAGTGTTTCTTGGTTGGCAATCTCCACGTGGCCATGTGGCATCTATCTCTCCCACCACTATGCTGCTGCTCCTTGTAACTCAGAAGTAATAAGGTTTAACTGCTAACCAGAAGGCTGGCACTTCAAACCCAGTAGCAAGTCCTTGGAAGGAAGGTTGGGCAATCTACCTCCTAGTGATAATGCCTTTTTTTTTTTATTGTTGGTTATACTGATAGAGTCTCAGTAACATAACAAGGAAAACCATATTTGCAAACAGGATTGTATCCATAGCTATAGGGTATTTGGGGGTTGGGGAGAGCCCTGCAGACACAATTCAATCCATAACAGTGACTTTGAGGGAACAGTTTTAGTGGCAGGCTGGGATCATAAGCAGAGAGTTAAGGGATTATTGAGATTTATCTAAGCCAGACATCCCGTGTAGGGTGATCTTTGAAATAATATCCTTGTGAATAGAAATAAAAAAGGAGAGAAGGATGTTTGATAGAAGTTCTTTTTTTTTTTTTTTCCTGGTATGTTAATGAATGCACTGGAATTGTTTTTGTTTTTCAAGAAATGAAATATCACAACTGTATGATGAATTTGATCTTTATGGTCATTTAAAGAAACCAAACCAAACTCATTGCCATCGAGTCAATTCTGACTCATAGCGACCCGCATTGGGTTTCCAAGGCGGTAAATCTTTACAGAAATAGATTGCCCCATCTTCCTTCCATGGAGCAGCTGGTGGGTTAGAACCACCAACTTTCTGGGAAGCAGTCAAATGCCTTAGGCACTATGTCACCAGAGCTTCTTTATAGTAATTTAGGAGGTCCCTAACAGCACTGTGTGAATATTTAGTATACTTAATTCATAAGGACCTATATTTCTGGATTTCTCTAGAAAAATTAAAAGTATCTTTATCTACTTTCAAAATCTTATTACAACACATTTATTGGTGGGTAGTGAGAGAAAGACTTGATGAAATGAAATTTGAGGGCCTGAATCCAGGTATTCATAGGGGAGCTGATGAAGTGATTAAGAGTATCTCTTGTTTCTCTTTATTTTTTAATTATTATTATTTTTTTAATTGTGATTTGGGTAAAAGTTTACAGAGCAAATTCAGTTTTCACACAGCAGTTCACATACACTTTGTCTCATGACATTGACTACAATTTCCCACAATGCAACAGCTCCCCTCTCACTTCCTTCCCATAGTTACCTCTTCCCTGTGTCCTTCCCTCCATGCACTCCTGCTCCCTGAACTGTCTCTGTGTGCACACATAGCCTTCTATTCTTCCATGATTGTTCTCTCAAAGGAGTGTATCTACCTAATGTAAATGTTCAGCTCATATGCCTGTCTTTTGTTTGGCTGGAAGCCACAGGAGTGGTTTCAATTTCAGACCTGAAGGGCAGCTAGGGGCCATAGTCTCAGAGTTCCACCAGGCTCTATCAGACTAGCAAACCTGGTCGCTCCCCCCGCCTCTTTTTTTAATGATTTTGAGTTTTGTCCTACATTGTTCTCCCACTCTATCCAGGATCTCCTACATAGATCCCCCTCCAAGTGGTTGGCAATGGCAGCCGGGCACCATCTAGTTCTTCTGGTCTCATAGTGATATAGACAGGATCACATGGTGTACCAGTCACTTGGACTAATTGTTTCCTTGCATCTTTAATTTTCTTCATTCTTCTTTGCTCTGGACAAGGAGAGGCCCATCACTGCATCTAGATGGCTGCTTTCAAGCTTTTGAGGTCCCAGTTGCTATTAAGAGTATCTCTTAAGTGAATAACAATGTATTTGCTACATAATCATCTCTCAATTTATCTTGTATCTTTTTAAAATTGTTGTTTTACAATATCTGGAGAAACACATGGCAGGTACATGCTGTGGTGATAACTCATCTTGTGGTTTTCTGGTTATTTTTTAGCGCCCCCCCCATCAGTAGTTGGAGTTACTTCTGTTTCCTTCCTCCCTTCCTCCCTAATTCCCTCCCTTCTTTTTCCGTTCTTCCTCCCTCCCTCTTTTCTTTCCTTCCTTCCTACCTTTGTCTCTCTCTCTCTCTTTCTCTTTCTCTCTGGATGTCTTGCTTAGACAGCCAATTGTTATAATTGTTGTCAATAAGTTGTACACCTGTAAAAAGTTGAATTTGCAAAATTGTATGAAAGATATATTTATAACAATGGCAGAAGAAGAAGAAGAAGTAGCTGTTGAAGATGCTTATTTAAACCAAACACCTCATGGGATTTGGTTCCTTGGTTTGGAGGTTTAAGGTCATGGTTTCCTGGGACATCTCAGTTAATTGGTCTAATAATGTGTTTAGTGCTTCTGTGCTGCCTCCTAGATTGATACATAGTGCCTGGACTCTTAAAAGCTGACAAGTGGCCATCCAAGGCACAACAATTGGTCTGAGTTCACTTGGAGCAATAGAGGAGGGGAGGTGGAGAGTCAGGAATAGGAAGATGATGTGGAATGTGTGGCTGATTGCCTCCATGAACAGCTGCCTCCCTTGCCATACGACCAGAAGAACTGGATGGTGCCTGGCTACTATTACTGACCATTTTGATCAAAGATTCCATAGAAGAATCATGAGCAAAAGGGGGAAATGCAGTAAAGAATTTCAAATTCTCATGGACTCTAGACTTCTAGAGCCATGGAGGGTGCATGAACCCTGAAACTATTGCCCTGAAACAGTCTTTAAACCTTAAACCAAAAATATCTCCTACAATCTTCTTAAAACCAAATAGTTTAGCTTAACGAGTGAAAAAGGTCTGTCTTGAGAATTATACTCTTTTAATAACTGTATATGGGATCAAATTGACAACAGCAACTTGAGAGATTAGATAAGAAGCTTAGAAGGCAGTGAGTTTATGAGTCAATGAGGGAGGAACAACTCAGAAAAGGAGGGTGAGAATGGTTACACAACTCAAAGAATATAATGAATATTATAGATTGTACATGTAGACACTCTTGCAGTGGTATACGTTTTGCTGTGTATATTCTCAACAACAATAAAATAAGTAAAATTTAGAAAAAAAAAAAAGATTACAGCCAAGAAAACTCTATGGAGGAGTTCTATTCTGTCACATGGGGTCCTTATAAGTTAAAAATCAACTAGAGGGCACCCAAAAACAACAACATATGACTAATGATGTTGACGTGATCTTTCCATGTGTACCTTTGGGCCATTTGTTTATCTTCTTTGGAGAAATGTATATTCATGTCCTTTGCCCATTTTTAAAGTTGGATTGTTTGTCTTTCTGTTGGTCACTTGCAGGAGTTCTTTATATGTTCAGGATTTTAAACTGTTGTTTGCTATGTCCTTTCCAAATATTTTCTCCCATTTTGTGGTTGTCTCTTCACTTTCTTCATAATGTCCCTTGATGCACAAAATTTTTAATTTTAATGAAGTCCAATTTATACATTTTTTCTTTTGTTGCTCCTGATTTTGGTGTCATATCTAAGAATCCATTGCCAAAAACAAAGTCTCAAAGCTTTACTTCTATGTTTTTTTCTAAGAGTTGTATGGTTTTGGCTCTTGTGTTTGGTTCATTGATCTGTTTGAATCGATTTTCATATTTGGTGTAAGGTATGGATCCAGCTTCATTCTTTTGCATGTGGAAATCCACATGTTGTCTCAGCACCACTTATTGAAAAGACTATTCTTTCCTCACTGAATAGACTTGGCACCCTTGTTGGAAAGTCAGTTGGCCAGAGATGTATGATGGAAAAGCTTTTGAAAACAGAATTTTTTAGATAACTGAGGCATATCTCTTTAAACTCTAATGTTTTATTCTAACTATTTTCATCACAGTATTCCTAAAATCTATAATACTCATTTGCTTCTTGAAAGAATTAATGGACAAGTTTTTTTCTTAATGATTATGGTGGTTATGTTTGTGTGTCAACTTGGCTGGGCCTGGTTGAGTGGCTGGGCAGCTGGATGCAGTATTCCCCATGATGAGACTGGTAATCAACTCCATGTTGGAATCTACTATGAGCATCTGAGTAGCTGCCTTTGGGTATGTGGTCTGCTTCCTGTATATAAGAAGTTTTGAGAATGGTCTCTAGCCTTTGGCATGCTTGGACCCTGCATGTAGCCGTGTTGTTGCTCAGCAGCCTGCTATGCTCTGCCGACCTTGGGACTTACAGTGGACTTAAGTTAATGGCCTGCCGTGTGGATTGGTAACATCGGGACTGTGCTTTTTTCCTTGTCAACCTTGGGGCTTCTCAGCCTCAGCAGCCAGCAGCTGTTTGAGTGAAGAAATGCCTCTAGCTGCAGTGGGCCAGGAACAGAAGGCAGAGCTGGACCCCAAGGTTGAGGGGCTTTCACCCAGCCCCTAGAGCCTGGCACTATGAACTTGGACATATTAAAGCCTCCAAACTGTTAAGAATAAACTGCTGTTTGTTAAGGCCATCCCATTTGTGGTATATTTCCTGTTAGAGCAGCACTAAGTAACCAGATCAATGACCATGAGTTATCACTATGAATTGTTACTAAGATGGGTGGTCATATATATAGCACAGTTCTTTAAAAAAAAAAAAAAGCACAAACAAATCTCTTTTCTCCTTGTGAAGGGATGATAAGTCCTCTGAAGATAGCATGATAACTGGAATCTGAGTCTTATAGAGAGGTGCTGTAGCAAATGGAAAGTGTTTCTGCCCTGCTGAATCCACAGATGCAATGCCTTTGTCACAGTTTATACCTGGCCAGTGTCCTTGGCATGAGCTGGGTCAAGACTTTGCTTTGAAAGCTCAGCCTTGGGCCAACAGAATACTTGGGAACACCTGGCTGAAGGCCACATCATGGGTGTGTGTGGCCTCCCTTGCCTTGGCCTTGCTATGCCCCTTGGCAAGGAGACCGTGTTTGATGCCAACGGGTTGAGTCCAACCCCACAGCACCTTCCCACATGGAGACTTTCACAGTTAGTGGTGTCCCTAGTATTCTCCCATTGTTTTATAAAATCTCTGCTCTATCTGGCTGTGTTTCTTTCTGTCCCAAATATTTTTCCCTTCTCTCTTATTATTATTTTTTTTAATCGTGGAGAACGTATACATACGTATATATGTTTGTATATGTGTATGTATGTGTGTGTGTGTGTGTGTATAACCATATATATATATATAACCACATATATATCCATATATAATTTTATATATATGGGAGCTCTGGTAGTGTAGTGCCTAAGGCACTTGACTGCTAACCAGAAGGCTGGAGGTTCAAACCCACCAGCCACTCCTCGGAAGGAAGATGGGGCAATCTACTTCCATAGTGACACTGCCTCGGAAACCCAAGGAAAGGTCGCTATGAGCCAGGTCTGACTCGATGGCACACAACAACATATATATATATATCTCTATATGTATATATATATATATATATATATATATTGCCATTTCAATGTTTTTTACATGTACAATTCAGTGACTTTAATTGCTGTACAACCATCACCACTATCCATTTCCAATTTTTTTCATCATCTTTAACATCTTTTATTATTATTATTTATCTTAAAATAGTTTGCCTCTTTTATTAGTCTTTTCAGAGAACCAGCTTTGGGTTTTATTGTTCCTCTTAGTTATATCTTTGTTTTCTAATTTATTGATTTCTGCTCTTAATTATTTCTTGCCAACTACTTTCTTTTAGAGTCATTCTTTTATTTTCTAACTGGAGTTCGTTGCCTGCCTCCTTCCTTCTCAATCTTCCTTTCTAATACAAGCATTTAAGTCTATGGATTTCTCTCGAGTTATCATTTTAGCAGAATTCACATTTTGATGTGTAGTATTTTCAGTATCATTTGGTTCTAAGAATTTTCTAACATCCATTCTGATTCTTCTTTAATCCATAAATTATTTAAAATTTCCAAATGTATAAGGTTCCCAGTGCCTTCTGATCATCAGAAATATTTAGAACTCTTTGAATGTTGAATATGCCTATCATGTTGTAGTTCTATATGTTAATTAGAGAAGGAGCCCTGTTAATTAGAGTAACCCTCTATTAAGCAAAATGTCATTCCCTGACCAGGCTGAAAAATAGGAAGTTCCCTATAAGCAACAGAATATAGAAAACTCCATAATCTGATTAAAGGCTACATCTTCTTAAGGATGCATGACTGAATTTGAGGTTCCCTTTCCATCTTGCAGGGAGCTCTAATGATGCTGTGGTTAAATCATTGGGCTGCTAACCAAAACGTCAGTGGTTCAAACCCACCAGCCACTCTGTGGCAATCTGCTTCTGTAAAGGTTTACAGCCTTGGAAACTCTATGGAGCAGTTCTACCCTGTCCTATATGGTAACTATGAGTCAGAATACACTCAATGACCGTCAGTTTGCATTTTTGATTGGTTTCCATCTTGCAGCTATGGACTGTCCCCCAGTGCCTCTCTAGCCACTCCCAGACCTTGGTATCATGATTATGTCCATGTTAGGTGGGATATGAATAGGCTTCTGTAAACGCCTAAAACATATGGCTTAAAAAATATAGAAGGTTTTTCCTATCTCTGGTAAAAGTTTGAGTGATGGTCCAAGTCTGGATGGTGGTTTAATTCTGTAGGGTCCCAGGCCCCTTCTGTCTTATTGCTCTGTAATTTCTAGGATGTTGCTCACATGATCCACATTCTGGCCAGCAGGAAAAGGAAAGAGCAGAAATGGAAAGCATGTTGTTTTATTTTAAGGACACAACTGGATATTACACATATTGCTTTTACTTACATCCTGTTGGTCAGAACTTAGTCACATAGCTATACCTAAACTGCAGTGGAAGTTGGGAAATGTAGTCTTTATTCTGGGCAGCCATGTGCCTGACTAACTTGGGAATTTTATTATTAAAAGAAAGAAGCCCTGGTGGCATACTGGTAAAGTGCTTGGCTGCTAGTCAACAGGTTCATGGTTCAAACCCTCCGAACAGCTCTTGGGTCATATACCTGGCAATCTGCTCCTGTAAAAATTACAGCCTTGAAAATCTAACAGTGCAGTTCTACTCTGTCAACATGAAACAACATTATTAAAAAGAAGGGAGAATGGATATTGGAGGACAAATAGCAGTTGCTGCTGCACCATCCTATCAATACTCTTAATTCATGTGGCTCCTCTTCCTATTTCAGAATCCTAGAAAAAGATGAAAGTAATATTGACGCCTGCCAAATTCTAGCTGTGCATGAGCTTGCGAGAGAAGGAAACATGACCAAAGTAAGTTCTTTCAAGACATAAAAATTGAGCCTTGAAACAGACAGAGCCAAGAAGGAACCCCTCATATCCCACCCCTAAGGCCTTGGAGCATGCTCCTTGCCCACCCCATGTTTCCTGTCAAGGGATCTTCTCTGGTTGGCTCTTCGGGCAATACATCTTGAGAATCGGACAGCACATTGATTCTGGCTCTGGCACTTCCTATCCATGTGAATCTGGGCAGGTGTTTCTACCTGGATAAGCTCAGGATCCTCATTTGTAAAATGGAGATAATTCCACCCTCCTTGTGAGGTGATTATAAGGACTAACTGAGAGAAGTGGTAAAGCTTGAAACAGTGCCTGGTGCACTATAATAATTCAATCAATGCTAACTGATAGTAGAGGTTGTGGTAGTGTTTCAGAAATCCCTAAATGATTGGTTGGGTTGCTTAGACATTGATCAAGCAGTACGTGGCACCACATTTGCTCCTAAGGCTTTCAGTCTTCCAAAAAACCTAAAATGATCCTCAGATGCAGTCAGAAACACCTAGAACTCTTAATAAAAACTTCAATATCCACACAGTGTCTTATTGTTAAAAACAGAGTTTGTGGTTTTAACCAAAATTTGTGTTTTGAGCAAATGAGACAGAAAACAGTATCTGCCTTTGTGGAAATTATGGCAAATCAAGGATCTCTCAGGTGTCATGGCAGGAGAAGAAAGCTTCTAGTTCCTTTGGCACAGCTCTGAGATTATGGATTTTGTGCTAGGAACTGGGGTGGAGTGAGATGGAGGGGACAGTCCTATTTGGAAGACACCTTGAAGATGGTCCCAGTACTGTCTCTGAGTAGGAAAAGAACAGGCCTGTCCTCAGCTCCCTCTGCCCCCAGAGCTTCTTAGGGTCCAGCCTGAGGTTAGGCCTAGGGGCAGGGTAGCATAGATCACCCCTCCTTTACCCTCATCCCAAATGCTGACACCTCTCTACCCCTGCCCATTCCAGGCTGCCCAGCTCTGATCTTGCTTTCTAATACTGAACAAACAGTCCCACTTCATCTTGAGTTCACTTTAGGCCCATCTTTGCAACTTAGAACTGAAAATTCCCTGCTCCTTGAGGTAGGGGTATTGGATGGTGGGCCAAAGAGTCAAGGGGAAAACACAGGCTTAAGAGTCAATCAGTCACTTAGCTGGCTGATGACCTCAGGGAAACCACCCAGCTTTTCTGACCCTTCATCTCCTTGACTGGGAAGTGCTGACAGTTACACTGACTTCCAGAGCTGTCAGGAGGAATCACAAGAATGACAAGAGAGGCACCATGGTGGTGACTCATGTCAAAATAGAGCAGAGGCTCTTGAGTCTGGGGCCTGCCTTTGCCATCTGTTCCTGGGGCCAGCACAGGTGGCTTGGTAGACTAGTGGGCTATGGTATGTATGGGCAGTGAGGGCTGGCTCCTGGCTCTACCGGGGTAAGGCTGAAGGGACAGCTTCTCCTCATAAGCTCAGGAACAAAGGGTCAGAGCCAATTCTTGGGTGAATTATGTTCCCAAACCTCCACCTAGGATGATTTAAAGTAATACTGATGCCTGGCCCTCATCCCCCATTAAGTCCATTGCCATCAAGTCAGCTCCGATTCATCGTGACCCTATACAATAGAGTAGAACTGCCACATAGAGTTTCCAAGACTGTGATCTTTACAGAAGCAGATTGCCTCATCTTTCTCCCACGGATCAGCTGGTAGGTTCACACTGCTGACTTTTCTGTTAGCAGCCCAGTGCTTTAACCGCTAAACCACCAGAGCCCCTTGGCCCCCATCACAGTCCAGTTAAATCTGAATCTCTGGGGATAGGTGCAGGTACGGGTATTTTAAAACAAATCTCCCAGCTGATGCTAATGTGGGACCTAGGCTGAGGATCACTGCCCAATAGACTTGATATTACTTGTTGCTTTTGACCTTGTCTATTTTGTCCCTACAGGCTGTTGAGCACATTAGAAATCTGATTAAGGCTCTAGAGATAAGAGAGCCCCAAAATCCAAGCCTCCATCTTAAAAAAATTCTTGTGGTTGGCAGACTGGTAAGGTTCTTTTCTGTTTTCTGAAGTGGTGCCTCTCTGTGTGTTCCTTGGGGAAGGCTTATCTTCCTCTCAATACCCTGCCCTTTCTCTCATCCACTTCCCCATCTGCCCCCACAGCTCAAACTGAGTCTGTCAGGCTGTAGCCCACCCCTGTGGCCCTTCTCGCCTCTAGTACATGTGGACTCTGAACCCTTGGCCCAGGTGCCCCTCAGAGGTGTGGTGACTATCAGGGCAATGAGGTCTGAAAGCCCTTTTAGGGGGGAGGTGCTTTACTTAGAGAAGGAGAGACTATGCAGCTGTTGTGCACAGAATCATGCCCAGCTGCACCTCTGAGTTGCTGCCCACCATAGCTCCACCCACACCCACCCCATATTCTTTTTGTGGAAGTGACAGGGGAGGCTGGCCTGCCTAGGCCTCTCTGATGTGAGGCAAGTTCCGAATGAACCAGGTTGCCAAAGAATCTGTGTCTCTGTCAGATCTGTCAGACCCCAAACAAAATTTACTAGAAGGGATTGCCCTAAGAACAAGGGCAGCTCTGGGGCCTCAGACAACAGAACTGTGGCATTGAATGCCACCAGGACACCAGCTCCTTGTGGGCAGCTAATTCACTCTGCCTCCTCTTCCACACATGGCAGGGAGTATGGCTGCTAACAGTTTTCAAGGCCAGAAACAGCTCTCAGCCAGCTTCAATTTTTGACAAACCTCTTGAATGAATTACCTTGGACAGACAGGGGATGGGTGGCCCTATGGCTAGAGGCATGTTCCACAGATATGGCCAGTGGGAAATACTTTGGGAGCCAGACACCTACACAGCTCCATTACCTAGACACAAGTACCTCTTGTCCTTTCCTGAACCTACCCAACCCTACCAAAGTTATCCCTGCCTGATGAGGCCTTGCTCAGGCTAGAATGCCTGACCTCCCCCTTCCCATGTGTCTGTTCCTTGCAGTGTGGAAGACACCAGGCAATCCTGCAGCTATTATGTAGCTTCATCGAGCGTACCTTCATGACCACACCCTCCTCCGCCCATGTGGCTGTAGAGCTGGGCTATCTCTTCATCCTGCAGGACCAAGTAAAGGAGGCATCACGGTGGTACTCTGAAGCCATGAAACTGGATGAGAGCAGTGTAGCTGCCTTGACAGGTCTATGTGGGCAGGGCTGGTGGGTGGTGGGAGGTGGATGCTGGGAGCCAAGCAGACAGCCTTTATGGATCCAAAAGAGAGTGCTGAGATGTATTTTCTCTGGAGGATTTGTGAGTTTAGGGGTACATGTACAATGAGATGCCTTTCTGTGAATCCACAGGTATGGGTATAAGGGACAAGGACATTTTTGGAAATGTAGTCAAATCCCCTCTGATATAGATCTAACTCAGATTACCAGTGCCTACACTCTGACTCCCCTGGAGGACTGACAGCTTGTCCTTCCTTATATCTAGTTAGACTGCCTCATCTCAGGCCCCAAAAGGCTAGTGTTGGAAACAGCCCTTCTCACCCTTGTCCTGGTGGCCTTTCAGCTCAGTGCCCTGCAGAGGGAAGGGCTACAGAGATGAGTGCAGGGCACTGAGCTGAAAGGCCACCAGGACAAGCATCTCCAAGGCTTTTACATCCCTGTCTTTTTAGATGCTGTTTTTATCCTTTCTATAAATGTCAAATGAGTTTTTCAAGAGTCTCATTTGCATTTTACACGTTTTTAAAAGCCCCAGATCCATATTTTCTGATGAATTCTGAAGCTGCAGTGTTTTGTTTTGGTTGAGAAAGATGTGTGGCCCAGATCTCAAGGCAGGCCAGGTTCCTGCCCTGGCTCCGAGCAGTTGTGTACTTTTGGGCAAGTCCCTTCTCCTCTCAGAACTCCAAGCTCCTCATCTGTAAAGCACAGTTGTCAGAGTTGTCTTGAGTTCTGCTTCCACAAGTCAGGCTGACTCCTGAGGTCCATGCTTCTTCCTCCTTCCCCAAACCTCATGAAAATAGTGGAAGATGTTTTAAAAATATAAGAAGTCCATTGAGGCACAGGGAAAGGTATTGTCAGTGGACCAGAAACTTTCAAGAAGTTCACATTTCTAGAAGTGGTAAATTAGGTGGTTATCAGTTATATGGAAATTCCAAGTAGGTCTAGAAACCCATAAACCAACATAGGGAGAGATGGGTCAGCTAAAGGAAGAGGTAGATCAGCTTTCCTTGAAGCACTCCAGGAAAAACAGAAATTAAAAAAAAAAAAAAATCATGAGTTCAGAGTCACCAGTGGCTGGGAGAAAAAGTATGCCTTGGGCAGTATAGTAGTTTCCTAGGGCTACTGTAACAAAAGACCACAAACTAAGTGTCTTTAAAGAACAGAAATTGATTGCCTCACAGTTCTCTAGGCTAGCAGTCTGGAATCAGGGTGTCACCTGTGTTGATTTCTCCTGAGGGTGCTGAGGGAGAACCTGTTCACGCCTCTCTGAACTTCTGGTGAGGGTCAGCGATCCGTGATGTTCCTTGGCTCATAGATGCATTACTCCAGTCTCTGCCTCTGTCTTCACATGGCTGTCTTCCCTCTGTGTTGCTCTCTGTGTCTCTCCTCCCTTTTTATAAGGACATCACTCAGGTTGGATTAGAACCCACCCTACTCCTGTATGTCCTCATGTTAACTTAAATGATAACATCCTCAAAGACACTATTTCCAAATAAGGTCACAATCACAGGTATCAGGGGTTGCGACTTCAGCATAGAGTTTTTGGGGACACAATTCTATTCATAACAGGCAGTCACTGAGCTAATGGGAGGATGACTGGAACTGTACCCAGACCAAAGAATCAAATCAAGGAGGCTCTTACTGGGCTTGGGGACAGTTGGGAGCAAAGCAGAGCCTACCAGAGTTCCCACCACCACCAGGGACATAAAGAACAAAAAGACTTGGCTGCTCAGCATGTAGGTAAAATCCCCTCAGATATTTCTCCACCAAGCTAAGGCCTTCCCAACTTCCTCATTCAAGGGAGAGCCCCAACTGGCAGCCAGAAGGGAAGTCCACTGCCCAAAGTGTGTCCCACTTAGCCCAGCCCAGGCCAAGTCACCATCTTATCTGGCTTTTCTGGGAAAATCAAACAGTGGCCTTAATAATTTCTAGGGAAATCCACCCCAGCTGCTAGTACTTACCAGACTAGCCCTTCATTTATAAATCTGCTAGTTGGGTAGGACATGGAAAGCAGTGGCCCTCATAGGAGCAAAGTTAAGACAGAATATAGAAAGTATATTTTTGCCCCCTACAAACACGTTCAGTATTTGAAGAGGCTGTTATGTCTATAAGAAGGTGCAGAGAACAAAAAAAATAGTTGTTAAAGATTGAAAACATAATTGCAAAGTGAAAAATCCCATATAGACAGGCCAAAGAGTGGTATGGATGTCAGTGAAAACCAAGATGGTGATTAGGAAGTAAATACACTGACATAGTCTGTAAGTATCTGGAAAAGAGGATGAATAGGAACAGAGAATTTGTCCTCCAGACGTCGAAACACAACATGAAATGATAGCAATTAAGTCAGCTAAAGGCTGGCACTATTTGAATAAACAAATAGATAAATGGGACAGAAATGGACCTTATGATAAAGGTGGCATTTTACTTCAATAGATTGGACAACAAATGATGGTTGGACACCTGGCTATCCATTATGAAAAATAAAAATAAAATAAAGATGGTAAGTCCCCATCTCACATCATGAATTCCAGATGAATTAAACACAGAGATTAAACTCGAGTTCTCCTGGGATTCTAAGCCTGACTGCAAATTCAGAAGCTATAAAGGATATTTTTACAGATTTGACTGCGAAAAAATACTTAATGGCAAAAGACATTATAAAAAATAGTTAAAAGGTAGATGGCAAACCAGTAGGAAATGTTTGCAACAAAGGGTTAATAATCTTAATTTATAAAAAGAAAAAAAACCCCAAAGAAAAATAGTCAAAGACTATGAACAGGAAATTTGCAGTAGAAAAGGCCATTAAATATATGAAAAGATATTCATTCTTCTTAATAGTCAAATAAATGCAAATTAAAACTAGTGTCTTTTTAGACTGGTGAAGGTTAATGCATATCAGCAAGGCTGTGGGGAAAGGAGGCTTTCACATCCTATCGGTAGAGAGATAAACTCAAATCTCTTGGGAGGTCAAGTTGGTGCAAACAGTTAACATGCTCGGCTGGTAACCGAGAAAGGTTGGAGGGGTGAATTCTGCGAGAGGCTCCTTGGCAGAAATCCCTAGCACTCTAGTTCCAAAAAATCAGCCATTGAAAACCCTACGGAGCACAGGTCTACTCTGACACACTCAGGCTCATCGTGAGTTGGAGTCAATGCAGTACAATTGTTTGTTTTTTGGTATGAACATTTTAAGCATGCGTCCCTTTGACCCATCAATTATGCTTCAGGAATTTGAACATACAAAAATGTTCACCCTGGCATTGTAATATTTAAACAATAAAAACCTGATAAATGCAGAATTAAGTTTCCTTCAATAGGGCATTGTGAAATAAATTGTTATAGCCACACAGTGGGATATTATATCATCATTAAAAAGAAGGAGATAGATTTGTATCAACTGAAGAGAAAATATGTCTGTCATATATAAAGTGAGAAACTCAGGTTACAGGATACATATGATTTGAATCCCTCTGTTTATGTGTGCTTTTTTAAACCTGTTGGTATCAGCATATGCATACATGTAAATGTATGTGTTTGATCTGTGTGTGTATACACGTTGAAAAAAAAAGTTGCTCTCAAGTTCATTCAGACACATGGTGACCTCATGTGTGCAGAGTAGAACTGCTCCACAGCATTTTCAAGGCTGTGACCTTTTGGAAGCAGATCTCCAGGCCTTTCTTCCAAGGTACCTCTGAGTGGGTTTGAACTGCTAACTTTTGGTTGGTAGTCAAGTACTTAACCATCTTTGTCATCCAGGGACTCCTGTAATGTTGTTGGGTGTCATCGAGTTGATTCTGACTCATAGTCACCCTATAGGTCAGAGCAGAACTTCCCCATAGGGTTTC